TACATGGAACATATTATCATTTATGGTGGACATGCCCAGTTGCGAAAAAATACTGGACTAAAATAAGAAGATGGATCGAAGAAATAATAGACCAACCCGTAGACTGGAAACCAGAGATCTTTTTGCTGGGTATTTTAAACAGAAAATATAGTAAAGAAATACGGTACTTAATTCTACATACAACAACGGCAGCAAGAATTGCATATGCACAGTTCTGGAAAAATGAGAATATACCATCAGAGGAAGAAGTGATAAGAAAAACCCTGGACTGTGCTGAGATGGACAAATTAACAAAAGAGATAAAAGAAAAGGAAGACACAGAATACTATTTAATATGGAACAAGTGGTATGACTGGTTGGAGAGTAGAAATAAGAGAGAATAAATGTGGAAAGGTTAGAAGTGGAAAATGTGTGTATAATAATGTATGAAGGAAGAAAAATGTAAATAAGAAATAATGGGGCAACAAGGACAAATATTCTAAAGAAGATAAGGGGGGGGAAATGTAAATAATAGAAGATTACTGTTACGAAATCGCTGTAAAAAAGGGAGGAATATATACTGTGTGTGTATGTGTGTTATGTTTTGTTTTGTTTTGTTGGTTTAAAAAATAAAAATATATTTTAAAAAAGTCAGTGTTTAAAAATTGCAGGTTGATTGTGAGTTTTCAAGAAACTCACTCTCGGGATTTCATATAATTATATAAAAACATCAAAAGTACATGTCTTGAATGAGATGAGAACAATGAAACCACATGAGATTCGATGATTTTGTAACCATGGTGACCATTTTTAATTAAATAATATTTTTTTATTGAAACTTCAGGGCTCAGTGGACATCACCTTGGGTGGGGAAATCATAGACAGGTTGGCACCTCCTGTGGCAAGGAGGTTTGTTGCACACTCTTGTTTGCTTTCCATATATAAGGCAAACATTCGCAGAAGATCTCTAACGAAGCAGAAAATCTTCAACTCTGTCTGATCAGCCTTAATGCAAAATCTTAGATAACAGTTTTGAATAGGTTGATATGGGTGAAGCCATCCAAGGAACAATTGGGTTACTCTGGTTCTGGAAGACAAATGTTCTGGTGTTTAGTGAACCACTTTGTTTCCAGAGGAATTGGTTTTGTTCCTGCTGGGTAAATCTGTTTCTTTCTTAACTTTTTTATAGTTTGGGGGAAATCCATTTGCTTCATTAGTGAGCAATTCATCAGGTGGGGACAGCCAGCCATCTCGCACAGAAAACCGAGACCCTTTACCAAATCCTTGGGCTCCTCAAGCTACCACACAGAGCTCTCCAAACAGCAGCAGTAGCAACAGTGGAGATAGTGGAGGAGGCAGTGGTGTTGAAAGCAGCAGCACCGGAACCACAGGACAAAGCTCAGCGGTGCCAAATTTGGGACCTGGGCTAGGAGGTATGTTTGTCATATAACAACTTACTTGATTTTCTTGAAATCACGATAGCACTTAGACTTATATACCGCTCCACAGTGCTTTACAGCCCTCTCTAAGCAGTTTAACACAAGGCTTTTCAACCTTTTCACCCATTGTACCACTTTTAGGATATGGCAACATCCGAGTACCACCAGTTGCCTAAAAAGGTGTCAAAAACTTGATGACCAAAAAAAAAAAAAGGAAAAAAGTGATAAAGTACAGGTAGTCCTCTACTTACAGCAGTTCGCTTAGTGACTGTTCGAAGATACAATGGCACTGAAAAAAGTGCCCCACAAGCCACAGCCGAGCAAGACAGTGTCCAGCGGTGCTCTTCCTCCTGTCCAAGGTTTTCATTGTTGTGAGCATTTCTGTTGAGGATTGGCAGTGGGGGTGGGGTGGGGGGATGTTTGGTTTTTATTCCCCCCGTCTGCTGGGTGGTTGCAGCAGGTTTTGGTCACTTCACATGACCCTGGGACACTGTGGCCGTCATAAATATGAATCAGTTACCAAGCATCTGAATGTAAATCACAAGACCCTGGAGATGCTGCAACATTCCAGTTGATCGGTGCTTCTTCTGGGCTCAGCAGAAGCGTCAGGATCAGCGCCGAGCTCCAGCTGGAGCCTGGCGCTGATCCTGGTGCTTCCGCTGAGCCCTGACAGCCCTGAAGAAGCACCAATCAGCTGGAAAGCGGTACTGATCCTGGTGCTTCCGCTGAGCCCTTGACAGCTCTGCAGCTCCAGCCATCTCTCGCTCAGGCTTGTGCGGTGCTGCCACCGGTTCAGCTCATTCCCCTCCCATGTTACCACTTTTCTAGGATGGTCACGTACCACCTGCCAGGTGCCAATGTACCACAGGTGGTACCCGTACCACTGGTTGAAAAGCCCTGGTTTAACAGAGTCAGCATGTTGCCCCCAACAATCTGGCTCCTCATTTTACCCACCTCGGAAGGATGGAAAGCTGAGTCAACCTTGAGCTGGTGAGGATCAAATGGCTGGCAGTCGGTAGTCAGCAGAATTAGCCTGCAATACTGCATTATAATCGCTGTGCCACCAACTCATTGTTTCAATTACAAATTACCTATCCAGAAAGGCAATGCATGTTAATGCTGTTCTAAATTCAATTGAGTGTTAAGTGAATTTGGATTGCAAATTAAATACTGGTTATTGACTATTATTAAACGTGATATCTCTAACTTGATTTGGACTTTGAATTGCATGTTTGTTTGGTCCTGGGTGATGGAAATAATTGCACTGAATAGATGGATGGTCATCTAAGTCAGAGACAGAGATGATGCCATAGCACTGTGTTGCTGAAACTTTTTTCCCCCTTTCAAGCTGGTATGTTCAACACACCTGGCATGCAGAGCTTGTTGCAGCAAATTACAGAAAACCCACAGTTGATGCAGAACATGTTGTCTGCGCCTTACATGAGAAGCATGATGCAGTCATTGAGCCAGAATCCTGATCTTGCAGCCCAGGTAAGACTATGACTGAAATCCATGCTGAATTAAAATTCACCTGTGGTCTTTCCCATAATTAGTAAAATGTGGACTTCTATTAATCTATTATATTATATTACATTTCATTTAGATATAAATAGTTGCCACTTTGTTCCTTATCCTCTGCTTTAGGTCATAGTAATTACAAATACCCAGTATTTTCTCCTGAATTCTACAAAAGTTGTAATGACCATTTTGCCTTCATTGTTTCCAGCCACAGTCACTTTTGACTTGTTTTAAAATTGTTTTTATTTATATTTGACCTTTCAAAGAGACCTTTAAAGACATCCTGTGAAATTCAAATGCACCTTTGCTTCTATCTCTTACAGTGCCAAGTTCTTCCTTTTAGCAATACTTGTTGTTTTGTAAAAGCTGCTTTAATAAATATTGTAACATGCTAATACAAATTGAACTGCCCGAATTACATGTCTGAGAAGTCAGAGCAGGCCTAATGATTGGTGCTGTTACTTTTGTAGATCCTTTATAGAATGTTTTCAAGAACTAAAGAATAAGGCACATGGGGGGGTTAATTTAGAGAATTTTAGGAATCCCTCCTTTTTCTCAGGCAGGGTATCTTTTATTAATTTGCCTTGTATGCACTTACTACTAGTAGTAACAGTGAGCATATATAGACTTTTACCATTGGGGGAAAACAAGCTGTTTTCCCAACCCATTTATCTATAGAATAAAAACTAAACATTTGAAGAGATGACATCAAAGTAGGCTTAAACATAGTGGCTGACAAAAGGATGTTCAAGTGGGAAAAATCGGGAGGAGATGTATAAACATTTGTGCTCAGCGAAGAGGATAAAAAGAAATTGAGCTAATTAATAGGTCAAGGGACATGGTGAATGATGAAAGGAGGTGTGATAGTTTGAAAGATGAGGTAGGTAGGCATAATAGTAGTAGGCCTGTGGAATCCTGTGAGTTGGGATGAATTAAGAAGTAAGAATGTAGAAGCTTTGTTCCTGCCAGTTGTTTGAGTCTTACAATATACTGAGCTGTGATTTATTTTAATTATTGTTTGAACAATAGATTCATATAGAATACTGACCCATTAGCCATGGTTTCCAAACTACACACTGGATTTATACATTGCAAATCATATTACCATGATAAGTTCAGCCGTTGTCTATAATATGTATACATTGCTTTTCTTAACAATAGTCCTTTATTTATGACTGTAATTAAGCCTGGAATTACAGGTGTAAGTTGTGCTGGTCATTAAGCAGGTCACACATGTGCTTTATTTTACATTCCTTTTTGCTGTGGACATTAAGTAGGTCATTGCAGCCATTAAGCAAACACTGTAGTCATTAAGCAAATCCATTGCCCACAATTGGTCTTATCACAGGAAATCAGAAATTAATGCAAGTTTCCAGCAAAAACCATAAGTTGCAGTCACATGACCTCGAGTCACTGCAAACAGCTATAAATGCCAGCTGCCAAGTTCCCAAAATGTGATCGTGTAACTATTGGGGGGGGGGGAGGCACGGTAACTTCAAATCTGGGTCATAAGTATCCTTGCATCATAATTTCAAATGATCACTAAGCAACTGATCATAAATCAAGGACTCTGTGTATGTGTCTGCACCTCGTGTCTTGCCAAGTAAAGAGAGAATTCAGCATACATGAAAGCTTGTATGGCTTCAGCATATGTTTGCTAAGTAGAAGTTTACCTGAAAGTTTATTTTATTTTATTTATTTATTGGTGATAAATGTCTGTTTGGTTTGATGATGATAAAATGTCTTGTTTATCCTTATAGATGATGTTAAATAACCCTTTGTTTGCTGGCAATCCTCAGCTACAAGAACAAATGAGACAACAAATTCCAACTTTCCTTCAACAAGTAAGTCAAAAGAAGAGATTAGCACTGCACATGATAATCATATTAAAATGTTATGCTGTTTAAATGAAACTTTTCACAGATCATTCATCTACAATCTGATCACCTCTGGTATTTAGGAAAAGGGATAATTCATCCTTTTGAACTTTCCCGTACTACGAGGATAGCTATCTTGTGTATTCTTACAAGTTGGTTCTTTGAGTCCTTTAAAAAGTCTTCCGATCTGAGGCTTCCAGAGACTTATTATCACATGTGGTGGGAATGTTCAAAGGCGCAAAATTTTTGGAAT